AAAAGAGCTGGGAAACCATAAAAGAAGTAGCCAGACAGTAGAAAAACATGGAGAAACAAAGGCAACAAAGAAAACAGGCAAATAGATCCAAATCTGTCCCCAACTCCCCAGGAGGGAGAGGAGAAGTAGAAGACGAATCATAAAGTAAACCAGATGGCCCTGGTGACAGATTGGCAATTCTAGCTGCAAGATAAGTCCACACATACTACAAACCTCAAATCCAAGTGAGGGGATTTGTGAGACAGTGATTGCTCTAGTGTAGAAAGCTAGCTCAGGTCAAGAAGTACACTCTGCCTAGCAAGTGTGAGGCCCTGTGTTCAAACCCCAGTATTGCCAAAAAAAAAAAAAAAAAAAAGGAATTCTGGGTGCCAGTGGCTCACACCTATGATCCTAACTACCTGGGATGCTGAGGTAGGGAGGATCACAGTTCAAGGCCAGCCCAGGCAACTAGTTTGAGAGACTCCATTTCTAAATAACCACACAAAAATGGACTGGAGGTATGGCTCAGTGGTAGAGCACCTGCTTTGCAAGTGTGACTCCCTGAGTTCAAACCCCAGTCCCACCAAAAAAAGAAAAAAGGAAGACTTTCTACCACTCCCCTTATCTCACAGGGCTATAGCAAGATACTATCTTGAAAGAGGGCATATTATTTCAGATTAAAACACTCTGTAGACTTGAAAACAAGGAACAATCATAGCTTCAGGGAATCTTGGAACCCTGTACAATGTTTAGGTGGGAGATGGCCATGAGAGGAGATTGTGGAGAGGGAGAGGGTCTAATGTGGTCTCACAGTGAAGTCAAGCAGTAGGAATCTCTGACAGCAAAGGGCACAGTGGTCAGAGGCTGTGCTTCTCCCTGCCCATCCCCCCAACAAGGAGCAAGTCCCATTACCTGAGGGTTGCCACAGAAACAAAGCATCAAGCCTGTGGCTAGCATAATATTCAGTCTTCACAGCCTGCCTCCTGGTTGTATGTCTGGTTGTTAGGTGGGTCAGAGCCTTGAGCCTAGACCCTCCAAATCATGTGATACCCACAGGCTCCTTCCCTACATACACAGGAAAGTGAACTGTCAGATCCTGAGCAATGCATCCCAGCAGCACTGCTGTCATGAAAGTCTAAGGGCACCCAGCCCAGGCTTGCTGAATCACATGATTTCATCAACCTCCTCCCACCAGGAAGGTGAACCACCAGGAAATGCATCCCAAAGTGGGTTAGCCACCAGGCCATTCTGAGGACACTGAGACTGGACCCTCTGAATCATGTGACTTTCCACAGCCTCCTCCCCTCCACAGGGAGGTAAACTGCAGGGTGGGGTCTGAAAGCAATGAGGCATGCCACCAGGAACTGCATCCCAGCATGTGTTAACTGCCAGGTAAGACTGAGGGCCCCAAATCCAGATCCTCTGAATCACAATACTTCATAGTTTCCTCCTCCCCACAGGGAAGTGAACCCTGGATGGGATCTGCAGTGATTGAGAACAGTAAGCAGGGCAACTAGGCCCTTCAGTTCTTTCCCAGCCAGTGCAGAACTCAGTGCTCTCTGATACATTCAGGGGTCATCACAAGGTGTAGACACTTGCTATCCCTGGGGAAACAAACTGGGAGGATTGTGAAGCAACTGGAAACCACCCATAGGCTGTAAAGTTCCCTGCAACTAGGAACAGCTTCCAATAAACAAAGAAGGGAAGCTTTTATAATGAAAGCAACCCAGAAGAGAACAACCAGCCCTTCTACAAGAAACTTCAGCTAGTTAACCTGAAACTGAGCAGTACTGCAGATCAGGCCCAGGGCCCTGAACACAAGAGCAAATGCTTGGCTACTGAGCCATACCCCCAGTCCTGTGGTGAGAAGTAGCACCTCAGCTGTGCCACTATCGTGCTAGAACATGGAGAATATTTCAACTGAAAGACAACAGGTGATTAAAACTTCTAACCAACAACTTAGCCTTAAATACACAAACACCAATGCAGAAACACACACAAAAGAAAAAGGGAAAGCGAGGCAATGTTTCCTCCAAAACCCAACAACTCCATAGTAACAAATACTAATGACAATGAAGCAAATAAAATCTCAAAGAATTCAAAAAAAATTATTATAACGATCAACAAACTTAAAGAGGATTCTAATAAATGCCTTAATGAATTCTAAAACAGCTCAAATAGCTGAATGAAATAAAGAAGACAATGCATGACATGAAGGAGGAAGTCAGTAAAGACATAGAAATTCTAAAAAAAAACTCAGACTGAAATTCTAGAAATGAAAACCTCAAAAAATCAAATAAAAAGCAACGTTGAAAGTCCCCTCATTTTAGTGGTGTTCATTCCACTTCTATTTTATGAAATAGCTTGAAGAGCACTGGTGTTTATTCTTTATTTCCTTTTTGCTCAACCATCCTAGGACATGTTAACCACTTCACAATCTTGTGAAGGATAATTCCTTTGTAACACAGCTGGAAGCCTCCAGACATAAAGACACATAAAGCAAAGGACAAAAGGCAAACATGCAAATTGATTTGGTCCCCTCATTAAGGGCTTTCTAGAAGCTTTATTCAACAAGATTTTGTAATGTTTCATTGGTCAAACTGTCTCCTTAGGCTACCTAGCTGTCAAAGATGCTGGGAAATATTGTATTTTACACTGGCCCTACTGCCATACTATGCTGGTAGTGAGAGAGGGAAAATGCATATTGGATAAGCAATCAGCAGTATTTGCCACAAAAAATAGAACTAGAATGTACAACTTTTAAACCAATAGAAGAAATAAAAGTGATACAGAAAACTGAATGAATTCAATTGGTTGAGGAAAAAAGAAGAGTGAGGAAAAAGCAATAGGAAAGCATGATAAACACAAAGTATAAAATAATATCTGAGAAGCAAGTGTGAGGCCCTGAGTTCAAGCCCCAGTATGGCCAAAACACAAATAAGTAATACCTGAGAAAAATCCAAATCTATCTTTTTAAGAATTTAATTTACATGCAATAAAATTCACTATTTTGATGTACAGTTATATGTTGTACTAATACATATAGTCATGTAACACAACCATTACAAAATTGATCCATTACTCCAAAAGGTTTCCTCGTGCTGCACTTTTGTAGTCAAGTCTTCCTCACCCCAAGTCTCTAGCCACCAACCAGTCCCTGCTTTCGAGACCTATAGTTTTGCCATTTCTAGAAGGTCTGTGAATGGAATTGTATAACATATACCCTGAGTGCCTGGCTTCGTTCTTTCATAAGAATGCATTTAAAATTCTTTCAGATGATTATCAATATTCCATTCCTTTTTTTTATCATTGACTAATTATCCCATTGCGACATGTTCCAGTTTGTTTATTCATTCACTGCTTGAAGAACATGTGGTTTTCAGACTTTTGAAATAATGTATAGAACTTCTATAAAGATTCATTTGGGGGTTTTGTGTGAATATAAGTTTCATTTCTCTTGGGTAAATCCACAGGAGTGGATTGCTGAGTCGTATGGCAAGTATATATTTAACATCATAAAAAATTCCCAAACCATTGTCCAAAGTGATTGTACCATTTTGCATTTTTCACCACCAATGTACAAGAGTTCCATTTTTTTCTACATCCTCACCAGCAGTAGGTTTTATCAGGTTTGTTGTTAATGTTGCCATTCTAATAAGAAATAGTGCTATCTCATTGTGGTTTCAAGTGTATTTTCTTAATGATTTATGATATTGAGCATCATTCCAAATGCTTGTATTCTATCTGTATATCTTCCTAGCATCTCAACTCTTTTCAGAGCTTTTGCCCTTCTAAATCTACTTTCAATCACAATGAATATGAACTAAAATTAATTTTTTAAAAACAGCACAGATTTTTAACCTGGATAAAATATAATCGGCTATATACTATCAAAAAGATACATAAGCATAAGGACACCAAAATCTTGAAAATAAAAGGATAGAAAAATTATAGCAGGCAAATGCTAACTAAAATAAAGCTGGTTTTAACTATATCAATACCGGTGAAATTGACTTAAAAACATTATTTGTGACAAAATGGTAAGTAAATAATGAGAAAAGGTAACTGGGAAAATAACATGTAGGTACTTAGTGACAACCCCTATTTACATAAAGTAAAAACTGACTATAAAAGAAATTGGTGAGTTCACAGTTGAAGAAGCTTTTTAGAGTTGAGCGAAAAAACATATTGGTAAAAATTTAGAATGCTGGACTTCATTATTAACAAAACAATCTACTGAACAAACTTAAACCCCAGGCCTCAAAACTTTGAGACAAACATAGAATTTCAGGGAAAACTAACCATGTGCATGGCTACAAAGCAAATCTCTACAAATCACAAGACATACTATACAAACCACATTGTCTGATCACAATCTGATCAAGAAACAATAATAAGCCATGTCTTAAAATTTTTAAATAATATAAAATACTTAATGGGTCAAAGAAAAAAATATAATAAAACAGAATTGAATGATAATAAAAATACTAGAAGTCAAAACATGAGATGCAACAAAAAAGAAAATTTTTAAACTTTAAATACACGAAATAAAAAATCAATATTAACTCAGATGTTAGAAAGAACAGAATGAAACCAAAACAAGTCAAATGTTCTCTGGAAACACAAATAAAACAGTGCAATAAGAATTAAGAAAAAAAGAGAAGGCATAAATAAAAGCAACCTTAGAAATGAAAACAGAAGCAAACCTACAGGCACAGTGGAGAGAAAGCTGGGTGGGAACAAGATCCGGGTTGTGATATATCTCAATCTGTTTAGGACAGTTTGCTCATGTGCAAAATGGAGGTGATATTCACATAGTGGCTAGTCACAGGGGTCACTCAGAAAATATTAATTCCTTCCCCCTCCCCTCAACTCTTTTTAATTGTGGTTCTGCAGAATGAAGAGGGTAAAACAATTAAATATGTGAAACTTATGAATTATTCATCTTATACATAGTCATGTTCTCTATCAAGATGAATAAGCAAGAATTGCCCATAATTTGTTTTAAAGCGTGTTCTTACCTGCCAAAACACATTCTTAAGTATATAAAAGTCCACATCCACAGCAGCCATAAATATAATCAAAGGTAAAAAATAAGAATAAAGTGAAAAACTTGGTGTTCTTAGAAGAGGGTAGATAATTTGGTGAACCTAAAATATCAAAAGTAAACAACAAGTTAGTTTGCTGTTGTTATGGTTTAGATAAGAAATATCACCCCAAAAGGCTCATGTGTTGAAGGCTTGGTCCCCAGCTAGTGTCACTATTAGGAGGTGATTGGATTATGAGCTTGCTAACTTTACCAATGAGCTGTTAGAAAGTGGGGGCTGTTTAGAAAAGCAGGTCATGGGGGTCTGCCTTTGAAGGGTATATCTTTACCCTTACTCCTTCCTGTCTGGCTGTCTTGGCTTCCTGGCTGCCATGAGGTGGGCAGCTCTGATCCATTACTCCCTCTCTACCATGATGCTCTACCTTACCAGAGGCCCACAGGGATGAGATCAAGCAACCATGGATTGAAACCTTCTTTTAAATTGTTTCTCTCAGGTATTTATCATAGCAGTGAAAAGCTAACTTAACACAGCTGCCATGTTCAAATATTAGAAAGTAGGTTAATGTCATATCAATCTATAAATTTCAGAAGATTCCAATTTGCAATTAGTGAAAGATTGTCTACAAAATCATTCTCTGTAGTAATATAGAATATTTCTGGTGTGTCTAAATGAGATACGTACATAACCCTCTATTCATCAGGGAATTATGTGAGTTATTTAGTTGCATGAACATTGCTTATAGCACATGTTAATTAATATTTTCAAAAATGGTATCCCTACCATTAGTGGTACTTGAGATAATGTTAGGTGACTCACAGATAAGTATTTTTATTTCACTGTTAGATATTTAGTTTAATTTGGTTTAGACAAGGAAAATAATCTTGCACATGTACTTGTGATTTCACAGAAATTTGCTTAGGACTGAAAAATACTTCAGTCAGTAGACAAAAATAATAATTAGATAACAGTATAGTTGATTATATAAGATTTGAATCATGAAGGCTGTACACAGATTAATGGAAAACACAACAATAGGGTGGAGTGACTCAGGTGGTAGACTACCTGACTAGCAAGCGTGAAGTTCTGTGTTCAAGCCCCAGTACCAACAAAAAAAAAAAGGTCAAAAGAAAACACAAATAGACTAAAGTGCTATAAATATTCCATCCTCAATGTTTACTTAGGCCCAGTCAATAGTTTAACCTTACCAGGCATAGTGGTGTACATCTGTAAGCTCAGGACTTGGGAGGCAAAGACAAAAGAATCACAGTATGAAGTCAGCCCAGGAAAAAATTGTCACGATCCTAGCTCAAAAACAAGCTGAGCATAATGTTGTCTGTGGGCCCATCTACTTGGGAGGTGGGGATAGGAGAATCGCAGTTTGAGGCCAGCTTGAACAAAGCTAGTGAGAGACCCTATCTAAAAAACAAACTGAAAAAAAAAGACAGTAAAAAAGGACTGGGGGGCATGACTCACATGCAGGAAAGCCCTGAGTTCAATACCAGCATCACCAAAAAAAAAAAATTAATCTTCATAATTTAACCTCTCTGTGCTTTGGTTTCCTTATAGTAAAATGGGAATAGAGTACTACTTCCACTTACTTGCTGAGAGAATGAATGAGTTAATCCAAGAGTTCATGAGTTAATAAATTAATAAATTCACAGCACTTAACGAGAGTCTGGCACATTATAAACACTCAAAATGTGTTAGCTAGTAGGAGCAGCGTTGTTTCAGAAGACTAAGAGACTTATGCAACTCTAGATAAGCACAAGCATTAGCTCCATTAAAAAAAATAATAAAACAATGAGTAGAGACAATTTGTTAATGATCTCATTGCTATGCAGTTGAAATTGGAAATTAGTAAGTTGGTAAGTTAATGAGTTTTTTCTTATGTCTATATTGTATTATATGATGCATGTTTTACACTTAACTGACAGAAAAAGCTAACTTGCCTCATTATGAAAGTAATGGCTGCCTTTTATGATGGCTCTCTACAATGCTAAAGACAACAGCAAGGAAGAAGCCAGTTACCCACAAGGGAAAGAAACAGGAGCAAGGCTCAAAGGAAGACGACAACCCAAGAATGCAAATGAATTTTCTTCACTTCAAAATTACTGCTTTATCTTCAGCTTTCCTAAATTGTGTCTCCTTTATTATAGATTTTCATATACAAGATGAAATTTTTTTGAATACCCAATTCACATGAAGAAAAAGAAACATTCCAACAGGACTAGGGATATGGCTTAGCAGTAGAGGGCTTGCCTCACATTCATGGTGCCCTGGGTTCAATCCTAGGACCACTAAATAATCCATGCATTTGAGGATGACATGGGTGTGGACCTTGTTTTTGGTATTTGTCCTCTGATTTATTCTCTAATTTATTGTACATACAATACCTCAACAAAATGGTAGGCCAGTTGTCCTATCACAAATCCTGACACAGAAAGAATTGTCAAGACCATGACTTCAGAATTCTTTAAAAACATCTTCGAAAATCCTTTAAAAAAAAGTATATTATTTAAACATAACCTAGTTTTAAAATGCTAGTAACCCTGATCTGATCAGTATGCATTGTGTACGTATATTGTACTGTACCCCCATAAAAATGTATAAATGTTATGTGTGAAGAAAAATGGTAATTTATAGTTTCAAAACAATTTCATTAATACTCACTCTGTAGTTGTTTAATTTTAAACTTCAGAGTTATATTATTATGGGTGAATAACTAGCAGTCATTACAAATCCAGTCTGCCAAGACATACATAAAGAGGCATCACCCACAGGTGAGAAATAATGAAAATCCAGACATAGTTCATCTCATATTAGTAGCTCTTCATTCTAAGCTAAAACAACATAATGTTCTTTAAATATCCTAAATGCCAGGAATCCCCTCCCTTTGTTTCGACACAGGATCTCATTACATAGCTCAGGCTGATCTCAAATTCAAAATCCAGCTGGGCACCAGTGGTTCATGCCAGTAATCATAGCTATTCAGGAGACAGAGATCAGGAAGGTCACAGTTTGAAGCCAGTCAGGCAAGTAGTTCAAGAGACCTCTTGAAAATACTCAAAACTAAAAAGGGCTGGTGGAGTGACTCAAGTAGTAGAGTGCCTGCCTAGCAAGCGAGAGGCCCGTAGTTCAAACCCCAGTACTGCCGAAAAAAACTTACAATCCTCCTGCCTCAGCCTCCCAAGTGCTGGAATTACAGTTGTGCACTACTATGACCAGCCAAAAATACTTTTGAGTCTAACAAGAAGGAAAACTGCAAATAACAAAAGGCATTTGTTATTCCCTATCTGCATTGTTTTGCATTGAAACCCTACTCTGCCCAAGATTATTCACTTCATCCCCTCCAGAGGCAATATCTAGGATATAATCTAATTAATTTATGCATAAGGAAAGATTCATTGCCATCCCAGATTCTGCATATCCTGTCTCCCAGCTACAGGTCAAGCCAACTCAGTAAATATTTCTTGAATATGTCTTATGTATAATGCCAGATAAAGAAATACTTTGTACACTATTTCTACAATGCCCTTTACTGCTGGACCACTTGTCTCTACCAAAAGGGACCAAAGTCTTTCATGAGTATTTTGAAGACCTGCAGAGAAAGCAATTTCTCTCTCTGATACGATGGTAAAACTGAAGAAGTGCATATTTGCTGCATTGTGTGTGCCCAGATCATCTTCTAATTCCAGAAAAGATTTTTGAGCAATTAACATTTTTCCTAAATTTTCTTTTACAGAGGTCTAGAAACTTTAATCACTAGAGTTGAATTGTGCAATATATTACTTCATCTGCATGAATACCATTCACTAGACTTGTTGAATTCTTATTTTGTGGTGGGAGGGTGGTAACTACAGTTTCAACTCAGGACCTTGCATTTGCTAAGCAGACACTCTCCCACTTGAGCCACACCCCCAGTCCTTTTCTGCTTTAGTTGTTTTTTGGATAGTCTCATGATTTTTTCCCAGGGCCAGCCTCAGATCACAATTCTCCTACCCATACTTTCCATGTATCTGAGATTTCAGATTTGAAATACCATGCCAGACTTATTTGTTGAGATGGGATCTTGCTAGCTTTTGCCTGGGCTGACCTCAAACTCTGATCTTCCTGATCTCCACCTCCTGAGTAGTAAAATTAGAGGCACGCACCACCATGCCCAACTAGGATTCTTTTTTTGGAAGTACTGAGGGTTGGACAGGGTTGAACTCATTGCCTCATGCTTGCTACTCAGGCACTCTACTACTTGAGCCACTCCACCAGCCCCTGAATTCTTAATCATTGTTTAAGAAGCCCTTCTTTGTGAAGCCTTTCCTAATTTACTTCTGGAGATTGTGATGGGCTGTTCATCTTCTCTGAAGAAGTCATATCAAAAGCCGTAATAATACAGACAAAATTAATGACACTGACTATGTAAGTTATGAATTATACATCTGGGCTCTCTTTATTTGCCCCAATCATCTCCCTTCATGTCAGAAATTCTCTGACATGTTACTTTCTTGTTACCAATATCTTTGTGTTTATACTTAGCACACTGCATCATAATTATTTGTTTGCCTGTCTCCCCCATGAGAGGGCTCCATGATGACAAGCACTGTCCACCCCCTTCTTGTGTGCCTACCATACTGTTGTGCTCAGCAAACGTTACTAAATGAAGGAACATAAATAGATGCTACTTACAATTGAATGAAGAGAGCTGTGCTCATGGCTCAAGTGGTAGAGTGCAAGTTTGAAGCCCTGAGTTCAAAACCTAGTACTGTCAAAAAAAATTGAATGAAAAAAAAACTAACAGCATTTACTCACAAGTTCCATTAGTTTCTTCTTTTGATATAGTTGTAAACACTTTTCTACACTGAGAGAAGTCTCTAAGGGCAGAGGAGAGATGAGATTTTAAAAACAACCACCTACCTCCCAAAACAATAGTGCCACATACAAGCATGGCAAAATGTTCCTTTATCACAAAGTAGTCAGCTGGTCTTCCACAGAGTAAATCAGGTGTGTTATTTTTTGTTACCCAGAAGGAAGAATTGACTTTTGCCATTGCTTTTCCAGGCCTAACTTGATGGATTCACAGGTAGTATTGTTGACACTTTCACAACTGCACACTAACCTGTTATAATATGCAAACAGAGGATTGTGAGGCCTGCCAGGACCCTGTCTATCCACATTCCTACCTAAGATGGTATCATACTCAAAACTGAGCACTTCTCTTCTTGTCAAAGAGCACACACTAATACCACCCGTTCTACCCATACGCCAAGAATATTTTATAGGAACAATAAGAGCTGTGTTAGTGTTTCTTCCTGATACTGCTACATACATATGAGAAAGAGACATACTGATTATTGCACTTACTATTACAATGACATGGTAAGGTGTTAGCTTTTCCCCACTGACCAATGGATTTCTCAAAGACCAAGGCTGAATACTGGCTTGCAACCAAGGCTGTGCACACAGTTACATGGCACAAGATACACTATCCACAAATAATTGAGCTAAATTCTTGGAGGGGAAAGAGAAAGGATAAACATTATGTTCCTTATTCTCTATAGGTACAAATCATTCTAGAATTCTATTTTACTACTGCCATCCCAAATCCTCCTTTTTCCTCTCTCAGCCTCCTCCAAATCCAAAATAGAAAATAAAAAACAAGGTCAAAGTTGATTCACCCCAGTTGAGGGTGGGAGTGAAGATGGGGGTGAAATAATCTAAAAACAAAGGAAAAGAGTGAGGTTGAGGTTTGGTCAAGTGATGTCTTTAATTGAATTACAAAAAGTCCCTCTTCCTCAGAGTAATGAAGCCTAATAACAGGCACATGGCCTGGTATGTTAATCATGAGCTGGATTTCAGCCCTGATGCCCCACCTCAGTTGGCACCCTTGTATAGGACATAGCCTGCACAGATTTATGTGGAGGTCCTAGAAAGGACTTATGCAGTTTTATTTTTCCTTGCAGCTACTATTAACCTAAAAACTCCTAGAAGTTCCTAAAGTAGTCCCAGTAATATTTAAAATTTATCTCTGGTCCCCTGTTTGCTACAGGTCAAAATGATTCTGATATAAAGCAGGTAATGGGCCAGAAATCAATTCAAAATACATCTTCAAGTTACCTTGCCTGTCTCTCAAGTAGCCCTTTAGGCCCTTTGTAGCTTCAAACCTTTATGTCCCCACATTAATGACCTTTAAATCAAGTTCTTCCCCAAATTACCAAAACCAGAGATATGTTCTTCCAAACCTAAACTGGCTCAGAGTTGAAATCAAGATGAGGGCTCTCAAAATCCCAAGGAACATGCTCAGCTCTGCATCTATTTGCCAGGGACAGTAATGCCAACTGGTATCACTTGGCAAAAGCTATTTCCATACCTTCTTCCTATTGGTTTCTTACCAACCTGCTTTGTTCTGATTGGCTGCATCCCTTATCCCCTACCCCCAATCCTGAAGAGGCTGAGTTATCTAGTTCCAGGGAAGTTTGCCTCTCTTAATGCTCAAGCTGTTGTCTACATCCACAACTGTTTTAACTGATTTTCTTTCCTGGCGTAATAGGTTAAATGGTCAAAGATATCAGCCATTTAGCCAGAATCTTTCTATGTATGTTTTTCTTACGCCAACTCTATCCAGCTCAGCCCTAACCTTCAACACTACCCTGCCTCCTCTCTGACTCATTTCTTCTTTTTTTCATTGTTTCCCTCTCAATGTTTTTCATTCCTACTTCCCTCCCCTCCTATTCCGTCACTGGCTTAAAAAAACAGCATCACCCATTCTCTGCAAGAGGAAAAAAATGCATGCACAAATTCTGTGATACTTAATAAATTTTTTGCCTCAAATCTAATTACTAGAAACCAGTGTAAATCTTTTTTAATGGATATTAAGTGTCCATTTACAGGTGACTTTCAAGGAAGGATTATTTTTTACTATTCTCATTTTTGTGCCTCATTAATCAAGGTTGCTGCATATCCTCTTGCCAGGGCACTAAGGAGGACATCAAAGCAGGAAGATGACTAACTATGTTATCAATCTTCTGTATCACTTATGTATTAAGGAAACGTTAGTTGAGAAAAAGTCCCATTTTCTAGAGACTAAATTGAATTTCAGGTCAACAGCTCTAGATCAGCCCCTGAATTATAACAACCACTATTGATATCCACACACCACCTCCAAAAATATTCTCTATGACATTTTTTTGTAAAGACTTGTATGATTCTTTTAAGCCCTGAACCCATCCCTACCGTAATTGCCACAGACTGATTTTTTAGAAGTGTTCATTCTTATTCACAGGCTCTCTCCTGAGAGACCCATTCCTTACCCTTTCTGCCCTTTCTTTGGTGGGGGAGGAGAAGTACTGAGGAATGAACTCAGGGCATCATTCTTGCTGGGTAAGCATGCTACCATAGGGCCATGCCCACAGTTCTTTTGCTCTGTTTGTTTTTCAGATAGTGTTTTCACTTCTGCCAGGTTTGGCCTTGGACCGCAATCCTCCTTTTTTCCCTCTCCTGTGTAGCTGAAATTACTGGTGTGCCCCACCACACTCGGCTCCTATCCTGCCTTTATGTAACTCACCCATTTGCCAAGTTAACTGTTTTTTCTCATTTTCCTCTTCACCTTACCTATACTGATTGCTCAGCATTGTTTGACTCTCTCCTTAGCTGCACTGCCTCAGATCGTTTGACTAGTGCCTTCCAGATGCTATGTAGCTCCTGCCCTACTGTTGCCTTTCAGGCTCACTTGGTTCACCTGAACCTTATAGGTAAGACTCCTGTGGTTTTCAGTTTCAAAATTCAGTTTCTCCAAAGCCTTATACATTAGGAAACTTGGATAAAATTTAAGAGTCAGTTCTGGCTGACGTATATAGTTGTGAAAGTCACTGATAACACATAACTAAAATACAGAGATGATCAAATTTCTCTTCATTACAACCTTTCTTAAAAGACCATAATAAACTCATTATTTCACCATTTTGGGCTAATTCAGCAAAAGTAAACTTTGGCAACTACCCAGTGTGTTTCCCCAACCCTGTCTTCTGACAGTAGACCAGACTATATAACTGAGATAGGCATGTAACATAGGCAGGTTAATCATAGTATCCTATCTGCCTAACACTAATATTGGCTCAAAGATAGGCATGGGACTCAGGCAGGACCAATCAGATGGTTCCTTACATCATTACCCAGAGTGAGAACTGTTCTGTTTCCATTTGGGTTTAGCTGTGGTGATGACTACCTAGAGCACCTAGAGATCACCTTCCTAGCTACATGGAGAAAGCCTACTTAACACCCAAAAGTAGATATTAGATAATAGCTATGAGGCACTATCTAAGATGTTTCTGAAGTCTTAACAAATAACTTTATAATCCTACTCTGGATTTTATTTTTTCCCAGAACTCATTGCTTAGTTTGAAAACTTATTGCCATCTATAAAGGGTAAGAATGAAGAGCAATTTCATTTTCAAATCCTTTAGATTTCTTCCAAATTTTATTTGAAAGCTGGTATTTTCCTTTTTCAGCTCATCTCTCTCCTCTCACATGTTAGAAAGTCAGGTGGCACTGGAATGCAGACTGCAAATATGCTTAACAAGATCATTCATTGAGTTCATTACCTAAATAACAAAGTTTCCAAACACTATGATCTCTCAACAAGGGCCTTTCTTCTCCAGCTTCCAGTAACATTTTTCTTTCTTTACTATAAATCCCCACCAGTAACCTCCTAGAGAACCTGAAGGCTTCTAATACTGTATTTGAGAACTGTAGCCTTTCAAAAACTCAACACTCCCCGCTTAGTTTTTTCTAGCTTCTACAACCATCCAGTCCCAAAGCTAAGGCCACATATTTTAGGGTTTGTTATGTCAATTTCTCACTTCAGGTTCCAAAATGTATATACTATGTATTTCAGTGAAACAAACACAAAACTGAGTAGATTAAAACAATAACTATCATTTATTTAGCTCATAAATCTATGATTTTGGCAAGGCTCAGCAGAGAAAATTTATCTCTGCTCCATACAGCATCATCTAGGTGGCTTGACTGCAGAGTTCACGTCCAAGGTGATTCACACATGTGTCTGGCAGGTTGAGGGTGATGGCCGACTGGAGTTCAGCCAGGGCTGCAGGTCTCTCCATAAGCTGGTTTCTAAAAGGAAGTGACTCAAGACAACTAGGCAGAAGCTACACCATCTTTTATGATCTAGCCTTGAAACTTACATAGAATCATTTTCACTGTAGTCACAGGCCTGCACAGACTCCAGAGGAGGGAAAAGAGACCCATCTCTCCATGTGAGAAATGCCATGACCACATTATAAGAAGAGCATGTGAGGTGGGAGATGAGATTGTCTTAGGAAATACAATTTACTACATATTAAATTGAACACTGGAGTAACTGCCAGCTCTTTACAATGTGGGGCACAATGTTAACCTAAACAGCAGTCTGCCTGCTTTGCTTAGTCTAGAGCAGTAGTTCTCAAAGGGTAGACCATAGGTCAGGTCAGTTCTGAATCATGACAAAAGTTCCACCATACACAGCAAAATGAGAAAAACAAATCTAACAAAGTTCTATAATGAAGCTTAATTTATTCATTTTAAAGGTTAAGGCCCTTTGCTGAAATATCTTTCCTATTTTTCTGATGTTAAAATGTCTTTTATTCAATAATAGTGATCGTAGGTAGTAGTTGTTTTCTTAATGATGTTATATCAATACCATCCCTTTATATTTTTTACATTTTTCTGATTAATAAGACATAAAAATCTAAAGAACCACTGTCTAGAAGTTGTCCTAACATTGAATTTATCCTTTGATTAACTACCTCTCAAATACTATGGAGGGGTTTTCTTGAATTACTAATATGTACTTTGAAAAAGTAACTACTCTATGGAAATTCAGAAAAAGCCATAAACTACCCGAGAAACAACTGAACTCAAAACATAATGGCATTTTAACTCTCCTATGAATCTGTCTATAATTCAGTAATGCAACAGGTAACAAGAGTTACTGCATTTCTCAAAACAGGCAAAAGTTATAGGTCCATAGATAAATGTTCAAATCCCCATATCAAAAGAACCTTTGAAATCACATCCAGGAATCTCTTGATAATCACTAGGGTTACATGCCTGAAAAAATAATATGACATTCAAATGAAGGCTTAAGAAATAAGAGGTCAGAGGAGAAAACAGACATAAAGTCAAAATGTTGAATGTGTTTGTGACTTGTCTGTTGGAGCAATAGGAATTGAAATGGGGCGCAGGCATAAGCAAGCTGTGGAGTCATTTTTATAAAGGTAAACAAGCTCTATAAATGAATGAAGAGGTAATAAGTTCTATGAATAAGGTAGTACTAAGTACTATAAATAGGTAGTACTAAGTGATTTCATTCTACTATTATTTACTAACTTACTATCCTATAGACTTTTTACATGTGAGGAAGAGCAAGACAAAGTCCCTTCCTCAAAAAGCTCTTCATCACATGGAGAGACAAACATGTGAACAATTAAATGGTACAGAATGAAGTTACTGGCACTACTGGTGCCCCAACAAAGGAAGGATTTGCTCTTTGTAATATTGGGAATAGGAAAGGTCATGGGGTGGAAAACTACAAATTGCTTCACTAAGGGTCAGAATTGAATTCTAAGAGGTTCCCCAGCTGGGGCAAGATGAAGAGGAGCTGGTAAAGAAGCTAGAAAAGCAGACTGTAAGAAAGTAGAGGCATTAAGGTGCCAATACAAGGAGTTTTACAAATACAATATTAGCAAATGTATCAAACACTACAAAAAAGTTTGAAGCTAAAGATTGAGAGATAAAGGAGAGAGAGATAGAGAGATTTTTATTTTATTCCAGGAATTTTCCAGAAAAGCCTCAGTCTTACTTAGGAATCTCACAGTGAGATCCAGGAATCCCTCCCACTCACCAGGAGCACACACCTGGAGAGTAATGTTGCATTCATGATAAAGGCTCAGAAGATGCAGAGTGAGACTAGAAACAACAAAAATGACATTTGGCCTCTTCCTAAATTATTTCAGTGCATAAGGACACTGGACTTCTTGAAATACACTCTATTAAGAGAACAAAGCAAACACAGATCTCCTTCTTTGTATAACCCATAAATGCCCACCTGGCCTACCAGAGATAGAGGTAAGAGGTATTGCTTTCTCCTTCTGCTTAAAGAAACTGAAATTGAATTGTTCTCACAGTAAAAAGATCTCAACACTTATAAATTGAGGAGACATTAAAACAACATTATCTCAAAACTGTGGTTGAGAAAATGTCAAGTAACAAAGTATTTCTGAATTATTCAGTTATTTTCCTTCTCCCTTAAGTCAAAAAATAAGTTTGCAGAGCAAGACATGGAGGAGAAAATTGTAACAAGAAATAAATGCTCTTTTAAATTTTTTTCTTTTCTATAAAACTTTCCCAGAAAGTCACAAAGTAATAGAAGATTCAGGGACTTGATTAAACAGACTAGAATAAAAGTACTTTCCAAATCACCAATATGTAATCAACTATGACATTTAAAACCTAGGAATGTCATAGGAACAGGAACAGGAGGAAAAGTGGGCTGGAGCCCACTTATAGCATCTGCATTGCCAAATACATGGGATAGGGGAAACCTTCTGAATATAAAGCCATGCGGATTTCTGTTTATTGATTTAAAGATAGAAAGAGGTTAAAGATTAAATAGGAGTTTTACTCAGACATTATATTCCACCTTACAGGTGAATTTTAATTTGGACATAGAAATGATAGTTATAACCAGAAGACCCTGGTATGAACAAGTCTTAATATTTCCTTGTTCCAGATTGCCAATCCATAAGATTTCTTTGAGAGAGAGAGAGAGCAATTTTCCCCCTCCGAAAATAGCCAAACATATCTTTTTAATGGAATTCCCAAGTTGAATAGAAATTCCTTGTCTCAGTTACCCAGAAAATCATTGGATTCTCTAAATGGTTTTACAGCTTCCGTAGGATTTCTGAAGGAGTATGAAACTCACATGGGGCTGCATATGGTACAGCAAAGGCAAGACGAGAGGGTCTGGACCTATACCTGCTGAGCAGGGTCAAACAAGCAAAAGTGACTGAATGTTGTACATTTTTATAAAATCTTTTATCTATTTTTTTACTTCAATTGGCATGAGTAGGTTTGTCTTTACTGATACCAGAAGAAAATGTGGACTTTTATAAAATGTATGTTCAGTAGAAAGAATAATCAGGACTTCTCTTCTGACCACAGCTTAGACTACAGACTTGGCACTTTTCACTTGACCTGAAAGGAAACAGATTTTAAAATTACACTTTATCAATTTGTGATATGAAAGACAATGAAGCTAATTTTTTTTAATTTTTATTTTATTCATATGTGCATACATTGTTTGGGTCATTTCTCCCCCTTCCTCCACCACCTCCCTTACCCATCCCCCATTCCCTCCCTTAACCCCCCTTACCCTCACTACCAGGCAGAAACTATTCTGCCCTTATCTCTAATTTTGTTGAAGATAGAGTATAAGCAATAATAGGAAGGACCAAGAGTTTTTGCTAGTTGAGATAAGAATAGCTATCCAGGGAGTTGACATGCATTGATTTCCTGTACATGTGTATTACCTTCTAAGTTAATTCTTCTCGAACTAACCATTTCTCTAGTTCCTGGTCCCCTTCTCCTATTGGCCTCTGTTGGCTTAAAGTATCTGCTTTAGTTTCTCTGCATTGAGGGCAACAAATGCTATCTAGTTTTTTGGGTGTTTTACCTATCCTCATATCTTCCTTGTGTGTTCTCGCTTTATCATGTGATCAAAGTCCAATCCCCTTGTTGTGTTTGCCCTTGATCTAATGTCCGCATATGAGGGAGAACATATGATTTTTGGTCTTTTGGGCCAGGCGAACCTCACTCAGAATGATGTTCTCCAATTCCATCCATTTACCTGCTAATGATAACATTTCATTCTTCTTCATGGCTGCATAAAATTCCATTGTGTACAAATACCACATTTTCTTAATCCGTTTGTCAGAAGTGGGGCATCTTGGCTGTTTCCATAACTTGACTATTGTGAACAGTGCTGCAATAAACATGGATGTGCAGGTGCCTCTGGAGTAACCTGTGTCACATTCTTTTGGGTATATCCCCAAGAGTGCTATTGCTGGATTATATGGTAGATCAATGTTTAGCTTTTTTAAGTAGCCTCCAAAGTTTTTTCCAGAGTGGTTGTACTAGTTTGCATTCCCACCAGCAGTGTAAGAGGGTTCCTTTTTCCCCACATCCTCTTAAACACCTGTTGTTAGTGGTGTTGCTAATGATGGATATTCTAACAGGGGTGAGGTGGAATCTTAGTGTGGTTTTAATTTGCATTTCCTTTATTGCTAGGGATGGTGAACATTTTTTCATGTGTTTTGTGGCCATTTGAATCTCTTCTTTTGAGAAAGTTCTGTTTAGTTTACTTGCCCATTTCTTTATTGGTTCATTAATTAAGGGAGAATTTAGTTTTTTAAGTTTCCTATATTTTCTGGTTATCTGGTTATCAGTTCTGTTGTTGTCTCATCAAAGGGGAAAAAAACAAACAAACAAAAAAACAAAAAAAAACACCAAAACACCACAAAGTGTCCCAAGTTCAAGTGCAATACAGTTTCAGGAAGTTTTTCAGCATGCAGATGTAGTTTGGTTGTTGTCTCATCAAAGGTAGGGAGAGAGAAAAAAATAAAGTCTGGAGACAGTTCTGTGAATGGCTATCTTGGCTGTGGCTCACCTGCCCGCTGCTGTCAGCCTGCTGTTGCTGGAGGCTTTATTTATGCAGATCTCAGGAGTGAGCTTAACACTCACCTAGCCTCTCAGGCTTTGTTTACTTAGAGTTCTCCTAGGTGCAACCACCACTGCTACAAGATTTCCCCTTTCCAAGCACACTGGGGGAGGTGACACTACTCCTGCTTTCTCAGGCTGCCATGTTTATTTACAGTTCACATGGGAAGTGGGCCTTCCCCCTCTCCTGTGGAGTTTTCCTCCCATTGCCACTTTTACAAGCTTTCCTGCTCCTGGTTGCTGGGCAGGTGCTGCCGCTCCTGCCTTCTCTGGCTGGCTTGTTTATTTACAGTTCCGTGAGGGATTTCCCCTCCCCTCCTTCGGTGCTATGAAGGAGCACCTCTTTACTACCTGTCTTTTTTGTTGTTTTTGTTTATTATTCATTTTTTTTTCTCTTTTTTCCCTGTGTGGGGGGTCAGTCTGTCCAGGGGGCTATGCTGATCTGGTCCAGGTTTGTCTGTGGAAGTACCATGTGCCACTTAGCTCACTTTGTGTTCTCCTTCTCCCAAGAAGTCTGGGAACAGGCGTCTGGTGGTGCAGGAGCCCTGCTGGTTTCTCCATTTAGCGTGGAGTGGGGATGCTACGCAAGGGCTGGGGGTGTAGAGGAATCAAAGTTTTGCCTCTTCTCGGTGGTTTTTCCTGTAAGGTGTATCTCCAGTGTCTCTCCAAGATTTTGTTTTAGGAAACACACTTTCTGCTTCCTCCCTCTAGTGGCCATCTTGAAATCAGTTGATCAAAGTAATTTATGTGCATATATGTATATAAGCAAATATCACAGTGAAATCCCTTGGTATAATTAATTTATGCTAATAAAATTTTGAAAAAGGTAAACAAGGGAGGGAAAGAGGATTGTTGGACTAGCCCATTGGTAGTGGTGGAGCAGGTAGGAAGTGAAATACTTAACTAATAATTTAGATCTTAATCATCTTACTCCTGAACTACACTAGGCTTGCTTTCTTTAGTCTCTTCTTCCTCCAATCCATTTTTACAAAAGCCATATTAGTCACTCCTACCATAAATTCCTCCCCCCTTTTTTTGTGGTAAAGGAGATTGAATCTAGGGCCTCACACATGCTAGGTAAGTGCTCTACCATTTAAGCCATTGCTCTGGCCCTTTTGTACTAATTTTGTGTTTGAGATAGTTCTCACTAACTTTGTCCAGGCTGGTCTCAAATTCATGATCCTCCTGCCTCAGCTTCCCAAGTGCTGAGATTACAGCTCTGAAGAAGAATCACCTCTTCCCCCAGGTCCACAGTGTTATATCCCCTGCAGGCACCTTCTTATCACTGGATGTTATGCTAGGTCTTGATGCAGAAATGATCCTTCATTTTATGTTGAAGAAGCAAAGATGAGAAGTTCAGTAAATGATTCAAAGTTACTCTAGTCAATGGCTGAACTAGTAATAATACTGATTATATGGGAAATGTGATTCACAGCTTTACATGTTAAAAAAAGGAGGTGATAGCTGGGAACCAGTGAGTTCACACATGTAATTCTAGCTACTTAGAAGGCAGCTATGCTCACCACTATGCCACCAATGCATTTAATTCATTGGTGGCTGAGATTGGGAGGATCACAGTTCAAGGCCAGCCCAGGCAAGTTTTTTAAGAGACCCATTTCTAAAAAATAACCACAACAAAGTTGTGGGGCTCAAGTGGTAGAGTGCCTGCTTTGCAAGCATGATACCTGAGTTCAACCCCAGTTACACCTCTCCAAATAATAATAATAAATAAAAAGGAGGAGAGTACATTTGAATAATAGCTGGTTTAGGCTGGGACATAATGACTTACTGCATGCCCATTGTTTTAAAAATTGGCTACATGAAGATGGCAACTAGATGGAGGAAGCAGAAAGCGTGCTTCCTAAAGTAAAATCTTGGAGAGATGCTGGAGAACACCTTGCAGGAAAAACCTCCAAGAAGAGGTAAAACTCCAACATCACCACACCCCCAGCCTGCACATAGCATCCCCACTCCACGGTAAACAGAGAAACCAGGAGGGCTTCTGCACCACCAGATGCCAGTGCCTAACCTGCTTGGGAGAAGCAGACCACCAGGTGAGCTAAGTGGCACGCAGTACTCCCACAGACAAACATGGGCCAAATCAGCATAGCCCCCTGGACAGACTGACCCCCCACCCAGGGAAAAAAAACAAACTGAATAATAAACAAGCAGCTGGCAAAAAAAAAAAAAAAGACACGTAGCCAAGAGGGAGGGGCGCCCTGAGCACCGAAGGAGGGGGGAGGGGCAATCCCTCATGGAACTGCAAATAAACAAGCTGGCCAGAGAAGGCAGGAACAGCGGCACCTGCCCAGCAACCAGGAGCGGGAAAGCTTGTAAAAGTGGCGATGGGAGGAAAACTCCACAGGAGAGAGGGAAGGCCCACTTCCCATGTGAACTGTAAATAAACATGGCAGCCTGAGAAACCAGGAGTAGTGTCACCTCCCCCAGTGTGCTTGGAAAGGGGAAATCTTGTAGCAGTGGTGGTCACGCCCAGGAGAACTCTAAGTAAACAAAGCCTGAGAGGCTAGGTGAGTGTTAAGCTCACTCCTGAGATCTGCATAAATAAAGCTTCCAGCAACAGCAGGCTGACAGCAGCGGGCAGGTGAGCTGCAGCCTAAGATAGTCATTCACAAAGCTGTCTCCAGACTCTTTTTTGTTTGTTTCTCTCTTCCTTTGATGAGATAACAACCAAACTACACCTGCATGCTGAAAAACTTACTGAAACTGTATTGCATTTGAAATTGGGACACTTTGTGGTATGCTTTTTTGTTTTGTTTTTTGGGTTTTTTGTTTGTTTGTTTGTTTTCCCCATTGATGAGACAACAACAGAACTACATCTGAGACACCATCTCCAGGATTGGAGGCTGAGGGACTAACAACAAAATTATTAAGACTGAAACTTTATTGCATTTGAACTTGAAGATTTTTTTTATTTAATTTTAGTTTTCAATCCTCTCTCTGTCTCACTAATACCTGCTTAGCTTACTGTTGATTAGTACACTATCTCTCCCTGTTTATATCTTTGACACAGTATTTTTTGTTGTTTGTTTTGTTTTATACTTGTTTGTTTATTTGTTTTTCCCTTTTTCTTTACCTTCTTTGCTTTCCCTCTCCTCTCACCCTTCCATTCTAAATATCACCATTATTATTATTGCAAGGTAGAAAATACTTAATTGTACACAGTACAGGGACAGTAACAATACCAAGGGCAATGATGGGAAGACAGAAAAAACAGGGAAACAGGTTTCCCCATAGCAAAAAATTAGTACAGGAACAAGAGGGAAATGAAGAAAACAGAAACTCAGATCCAGACTCCAACAAATTGAAGATAAACTATGACAAAGAACCAAAGAACCAAAGAACAATCTGAAAGAACAAATCCTCTGAGTAATCAATGAGAATTTTATAGAGATGATACTGGATATGGTCAACCAAAATGTACAGGAGACACTCAAGAAATTCCAAGACAACAAAAATAG